AACGCGAAAAATTTCCCCTGAGGTAATAACGTGTAACGTTACTCCAGAGGCGGCAGGTGAGGGAGGGGGGTAGTATGCTGCGGGTTTCCTCCAACAGCAGAGGCTCTGACTGAGGGGAAGGAAAAGAGGGGTCTGTTATGGGTGGGATTTAATGGCTGAGGCGTAGATCCTTTGCCGGTTGGCTAGGCCATGTATGTCTTGAAGTGGAGAGAGTGAGAGGGGTGATGGATGGAAAGGAGGAGGAAGTATATAAACCGGCCGAACCACTGCGCCGACAGCCTTTCCTGTGTTCTTTTAACATTGCATTGGTTCCACTCGATAATCCGCGTTATGTCTCATTTTTCATCACACCAGCGTAATTCTTGTCGGCTTTCAAAATATCTCTTATTTCGATGATTTTATGAATTTGTTGTTTTTGATGTAATCTTACTGCATATTCTGGATTTCATAGGTTACTTCTCCGTGAAACGCAGTTGTGGAAGTAGTAATGCCGACCATTGGGATCAAGAAATCGGTGATCGATCGCCACATGCGCACCGTCTATTGTAAGTTCTGCCTGTATTTTTTTCTCAGTACCGTGCAGTGAATGTCTTCTCCTGTGCTGGCCCGTTTTATCTCCCCCAGAGCAGTACCCGGTGCTTCGAGTGCGACCCCTGAAGAAAACGGCTTCCTCTGCTTCTTGGATATTACTAGAACGGGAAAAGCCAGTGTCTGTGTGGTACAGGTGGTTGTTGAATTCATCGTTGGCTGGCTTAATTCTGCTTACTGCACCTTGGATCTGGATGCTTGGGGAATTTGAACTGCATAAGCGTAGAAGCTTAAAAGTATCAGTTGTGTGTGTGTGTGTTTACAGCTAAGGGATGAAACACGGACAAACATTCTTACATATTCTCTCAGCACATAGAGATGAACATGTCTCATATTGCTTATATTACATTTTCTAACAGCCACTATCTCTTAATCTCTCGCACGTGCATTAGCAGATTCGACATGGGATATTTAAATCGAACCTTCCTCGCTCAATTCCATTTATTAACTGCGCCTGAAATATCGAATCTCGATGCTTAGAGAATTTGAACTGCATAAGTGTAGGCGCTTAAAATTTTACTAACTGCACCTGGTCAGTGCTTAGTGAGCCCGGCCGGTTCTGAGGAGCTGAGTTTGAAAACTTTTGGTCGTGCGTGAGTGGGGAACATTCCCTCAAAGTTTCAACTTTCTAGCCTTCCTCATTCACGAGTTATGATTTTTTCCATGAATTTGAAAATGTATAAAAGGAAGTAAATTTTGGAGGTAAATTAATGGTGTTCTAATTGGAAATGAACTATTTTCACAGCACTTATCCACAGTACGCTTAATAGCATTATCTGTGAAGTGGAAATTTTTAAGTTATATGTGTATTTTCGTTTATTTTTCAAATGTACGTCAAAAATATCTCATCGTTAGCTCAAACATAGTGAAATAGTTGCCAGTATTTCTTAATCGAGGGGTATGTTATTTCGTTGCCTGGCGCTCCGGAAATTTCCATTAATATCACAAACACTGAATATATAATAATTGCTTGGGTGGTTTAAAGGACTTAAACTCAAATCTTCCCATTCCATTCCGTTCTATTTGGTGTAAATGGGAATTACATCCGAAATTATTGCAGTAACACGATATGTTTTGCTCATTTCCTGTATGAATGCTAATTTAAAAAAAAAAGGAGAAAATTTCAGCGCAAAAGCAATTCGAGGATTTGTTATTTGACTATGGCCTGGAGCTCGATGAAGTGGTTAGTCCCACTGATTTTTGAACTATACTGAACCATTGAAGAAAACATATTGCTGCATTGCCACTTTGTCGAATTGTATCTTTATTTTTAGCTCATCATTCTCCTGGCAGGGCCCCAAACTTGCGATTGTGATTTGGCATTGGATTTCTGGGATACAGTTTTGTTGTAATGAGTGCGGAATTCTGTGATTTAATTTTTGAAGATTTGGATGTTTCTGAAGAAAATAAGGAAAATTGGGGATGTGTTTTTGGTTTTCAGTGACTTTAGTCAATACGGTTGTATAAAAAAAAAAAAAACTGAGTGAAAGAACTAGCTGATTGATTGTTTTGAATTAAGTGGTAGAGCAGCGGCTATAAGAATTGAGTTGATTGTGAAAATTAAATTTCCGAAAATAACTGCTTCCCGAAACTAATCGATCCTCTCATTTTGCCCTCCCTTGTGACTGACTGCAATTACGGA